ATAAGTGTTTAACTAATCTAATTGTATAAGTTGGAATGTTTAATATATATTTTTTTTGCAAGTTTAAATTTTAAATAGATTTAAATTCATAAATCTAAAGTGTTCAATGAATCAAAATAAAAATTGAAGAACCAGACAAAATTTTTTTACGAGAAATACATGGTGAATTTATGCAGGCCCATAACAATACGCATAACATGTTGATTTAAAATCATTAATAAAATAATATTTAAAACTTGGAACTGTAAAATACTCTATGTATTTAAAAAATTCAACTAGTTATGGTAACATATTAAATGGTAACTTTTGGTTCTCGTATTAAAGCAATATTCGGGAACAGTTTTATGTAACGTTTAGTGTTTTGATTTAGCAAAAATATTTTTTGTAGTATTTATATTATTCGATAGCGAAACATGCATATAAGTTTTTTTTTTTTTTACAATAAATCAATTAAGAAATTTCATTAAGATGAAACAGTATATAGATATGAGGTACATATCAATATGTTTGTATATTTTTATATAGGAAGTCTAATAATAAATCACTTATACAAGGAATAAAAAAAAAACATAATCTTAATTGGAAGTATCTGATCGAGTTGACAGATCATAACATATGTGTCACAAGCGATTGCTTGCTCCATAAAAAATAATAAATCAATATTTGGATAACAATTCCTCATATCTAAATCAAAAGATACAAATCTGAAGATTATTTAGAATAAAAAATAATGAAAGGTGGAAGAAAGAGAGCTTCTAAATTTTGAGAGAGATAGAGAGATGACTTATAAGGGTTTAGAGTGTTTAAAGTTTAAAAGAGAGAATTATAAAACATTACTTCCTTTTAACATTTGATAAAATAATTTTAAACAACCGACATCTATTAAATACATGATTTTAGAAAAAGACCCTTTGTCAAATAAATGTCTAGTGATCCTCAATTAGATAAGTCTTTATCCAGAAAAAGATATTAAAATCAAGGCAAATAGCAAACTATGTCTTGTGTGATACGCAATTACCACAGCAACAAGATGCTCTAACTTAATTTATTATAATTTAGTTTTGGCTGTTAGCTAGCATTATTATTCCAAATTATTTATTTATCTGAATAATTTGATTCAGGTGGCATTACTCGAATCCAAGTAGCACTGTTTATATATACTTTCTCCAGATAATTCATTTTTCTTTTTGGTTTGTTTTAAAATATAATTCACTTTCTTTTTTATATTGTAACTAATCTTTAAATTGTCTATTATACCTTTATTAAACTTTATCTTATTTTTAAAAATCTTCATTAATTTTTACTTATTATTTCAATATACTTGCTCTGTCCTAAAATATAAGCCATTTAAGATTTTTGTACAGAGATTAAGAATAATTCTCCTAAACTATAATAAAATCAAGAGTAATTTGATCAAATTATCCAGTATCTCAAACCAATAGTTATTTGTGAAGGGAGTGATTGTATTTAATATAAATAAGGATAATATTAGAAAAACATCATTTATTACTATTTGAAATAATCAAAACGACTTATAATTTGAGACAAAATAAATACTAAAAAAAGACTTATATTTTGGGACAGAGAAAGTAATAATTGCTCATGTATTATTTAAAATGGGTATAATAAGAAAGTTATATGAATAAAATTGTCTTTTAATCATAATAATTACTACTTTTTTAATATGTGTTAAATAAAAAGTGGACTATCTTTTGAAATAGAACCAATAGATATAAAGATATTAAAAATATTATTAGCAGATCAAAACAAATAGCATTATCCTCTCTCTATATATAATAAGCAAATAAAAAAAAAGAAGAGCACTAACGCTTACAGTGTTTGCTATAGCGACGCGACGTAAATCACGTAAAGATAACTTGTATTTCTAATACGTCAGAAGAGATTTGTAAACATGTAGCTTTTGTTTATTTAATGGGAGTTACAAAATATAGTACCACTTGTTTTCAGTATTTTATAATATATCAATATAAGACATAACTTTTTTATAAGGGATTGTTTAGCAACGAATACTTTAAATTCGTTGCAAAAAGACATTACTATTATATTTTTGTAAACTTATCATTGCTTTGTACAAAGTGAAAGTTAAGTAATTACGGTTAAAAAATCCCAAGTAATGTACTCAAAGCATGTAAGTGTGACAAGGTAGTTAGATAATTAGTTAGTACTAACCTTTTAGCATTTATTAGTCCAAGTGCACATCATAAATTTTTATTTCATGGATTCTAACCTCTTATCCAATTTACCTCTATTCTTTCAACTTTTAATAATTGTAAAATGAAATGCACTTTTGTAATATTTTGTTAAAATTACTATTATTTTGACAAATGTGGATAATTTTTGTAAAAGTGGTTAATTATAAAATATTAATTTGATATATGGTTAGTATAATTTTTAGAACAATAATTTTTATATTTTTTAATTATCTAACAAGTATTTATTCAATTTAACGGAATGTTAAATAAAATGATTTTTCTAATTGAAATTTTTAATAAATACAATTATAAATTAAAGTATTCAATGAAGCAAAAAGTTTAGAATCTCACGATATGTTTTGTGAAAAGTATATGGATGAATTTATGCAAATTTTTAAAGGTACTCAAAACTTACTTAAAAAAATTAGAATCATTATATATATTATTAAGATTAAAAAATATTTTTTTTTTTTTTTTTTTTTAGAATTCATTATATATATTAATTAAGATTTAAAAAAATATTTTTATTTTTTTTTTTTTTTTTTGGAAAGGAGATTAATAAAGCTAGGAAGTACTGAATCAGTGAATCTTCTCAAAAGAAAAAAAATTTTGGATTGGTAAAACTACATATGCAGGTTCGACTATGATTAGGAGTATTCATCAAACCTCATAAACCATACAAATTGATAAAAATCAATCCAAATCAATCTAAAACCATAGTTTTAAAAAGATGGATCATTTGATTTGGGTTTATAAAATTTAAAAATCGAACTTTTAATTTAGTTTTCGGTTTTAGAGTGAAAATCACCTGAACTAATTTATATTGATTAATTTATATTGAATTGTAAATTATGAGATTAGTTTATATTGCATAATAATTTATAATTTATAATAATTTATTTAATTAGTCAGTTAATTTAGTTTTTAGTTAGCATTATAATTCGAAATTATTTATTTATCCGAATTGTTGGATTGAGGCCGCGTTTCACGAATCCAAATAGAATTTTCTATGTGTGTATATATAGTATAAATAAATAAAAATATATTAAGCAATCAATTTCGTGTTGATGGGTGATAAGCCTAAGCGGTTGCTTCTACAAGGTGCTTGCTGAGTTAATATCTTCGAGCTAAATAATCGTCTTTAGAGCTTATATTATTTTGTAATCTTTTTTTGAATTGTTATATTATTTTGTAATCTGACAGTTTTTTTTTTTAGAAAAATCAATTAAAAATTTCAATAATTGAAAACTGTATACAGCTATGAAATACAGGTCAATGTGTTTTTATATTTTTTATAGAAAATCTAATAATAAGCCACTTATACAAAGAATTAAAAAACGCAATCTTGATTTGAAGTATCTGATTAAGTTGACAGAGCAGAAGAACACAATATTTGTGTCATAAGCGATCACTTACTCTATTTGGTGGCTATTCATGGCCACTGTTCGACTCCATAGTCTTTCTACAAGTCCAATCTAATTACCTTCAAATTTCTACGTTCTATTAAAATGGAAATCTGCACTTCTTTTATATAATTATCCAAATAATAAAAGATGTTAGACAAAATCACTATAATGACGACAGTAACAATAACTCATAACTAAATTTAAAAATAAAATCTTAAAATATAGGCAATAATAAATCACAATATTTGGGCAATAATCGGACATTTTTACATGAAACAGCCACTTTTTATAAAATACTTGAAAATACTACAAGTTACTCACAATCAAAGTTATTATTATATAATTCAACAATTTCATAATAAAAAATTGTACAAAGTACTTAGACGTATTAGGAAATATTGCAAGCATTGATGGAGCTAGGGGTCTAGGGGTGGACAGTCCCCTAACAATTTTTTTTTAAAAAAAAAAATTCATAAGATATTAAAATTTTTTTATTTTATCCACTAAAATAGTTAATTTTTTTTTAATTTCACCCCTCTTAACTTTTGAAAATTTTTTTAACTCCCTAAGTTTAATTTTTAAATCCGTCACTAATTGAAACCGGTACTATTATTTTGCAAACCACTAATTTTTATATGAAATATCTTCTTCTTACAAAATATTAGAAAGTATTATAAAATATTGACAATTGAAGTTATTTTTTTTAATCCGGCAAATTTACTAAAAACAACCACTTTTTACTAAGGCATGAGAAATTATTACAAAGTATCTGTGATCTGAATTATTGTTTTGTATTCCATTAACTTTAGACTTACTATATATTGACAACTGGAGTTATTATTTAGTAATCTAGCAATTTTACAAAAAGCTTCATTTTTTTTTACAAAATTATTAGAAAATATTATAAAATATTGATAATCAAAATTATTATCTTTAATAAAACAACTTCATAAAATATCTATTTTTTAAATAAAATATTTAAAAATATTACAAAAATATTTACAATCATAATTATTTTTTTGTAAATCGTCGTCTTTTACAACAAATATCAACCTTCTACAAACTATTAGAAAATATTATAAAATATTAACAAACAAATCTATCATTTTATAAAAATTCTTTAAACGAAATTATTATCCAAATTATATGAAAGATTACAAAATATTACAAGTTATGGGCATGTAAAAATTTAATGTAAACTACCACAAAATTCAACTGACTTGATTTTAGATGAAGGGATTATTGCGTTGGGGGGGAAGGGGAAGATATGCATTAACGCTTATAAATATGCAAATACGATGTTTTAACAAACTCACCACTAAGGCTCTTACTGCTCCAATCTTCTCCATAACCAAATAGTTTTCTGACTATGGAATATCAAATGCTCTCATTTCCAGTTATTTTCAGTTTCCTTCTTTTCCTTCTCGTCTTATTAAAAGTATCCAAAAAATTATGCAAAGATAATTCTATCCCTCCGCCGGGACCATGGCAATTACCTTTCTTGGGTAACATTTTCCAGCTCGCAGGCTACCAATTTCATATCCGGTTAAGCGAGTTGGCCAAAACTTATGGACCAGTAATGGGTATTAAAGTCGGTCAAGTTCCTTTTCTTATCGTTTCTTCGCCGGAAATGGCCAAAGAAGTGTTGAAAGTCCAAGATCCCACTTTCGTCGACCGACCGGTTGTCCTTGCAGCAGAATTGGTGATGTATGGGGGCCACGACATCGTTTATGCGCCATACGGAGATCAATGGAGACAAATGAGAAAATTTTGCACGTTAGAGTTACTTAGCACAAAACGAGTGCAATCCTTTCGATCCGTAAGAGAAGAAGAAGCTGGAGAGTTTGTAAAATTTCTACTTTCAAAAGAGGGAAGTTCTGTTAACCTTACTCATGCTTTATATGCTTTATCAAATTCTATGGTTGCAAGAAGTACTGTTGGTCATAAAACCAAAAATCAAGAAGCGTTATTAAACGTTATTGATGATACAGTTTCAACAGCGGCAGGTACTAATATAGCCGATATCTTTCCGTCCTTAAAATGGCTTCCTACAGTCAAACGGCAGATGTCTAGAATTTGGAAATCTCATTGTCAAACAGATGAGATTCTTGAAGGTATCTTAAGAGAGCATAGAGCTAAAAGGCAGACGGCAGCTTCCAAGAACGGTGATCGGGCTGAAGCCGATAATCTTCTTGATGTTCTTTTGGATCTTCAACAGAGAGGAGATCTTGATGTTCCCTTAACTGATATCAACATCAAAGGAGCAATCCTGGTTTGTGTATCTTCGTCTTCTCAGAGTTTAATTAAGCTCTTATTTTGTTTTCAAGTTTCAACTGATAATTTCATACATTTCAATATCACTTTAAAACTCGTAAACTGAAAAGTTCATAAATTGCAGGAAATGTTTGGCGCTGGAAGCGACACATCTACAAAAACTTTAGAATGGGCAATGTCAGAATTGATGAGGAACCCAAAAATGATGAAAAAAGTACAACAAGAATTGCGGAGTTTCTTTGGTGAAAATGGAAAAGTTGAGGAAGCAAAACTTCAGGAATTAAAATGGTTAAAGTTAATTATTAAAGAAACATTGAGATTACATCCTCCAATTGCAGTAATTCCAAGGCTTTGTAGGGAGAGGACTAAAGTTTGTGGATATGACGTTTATCCTAATACCAGGGTTTTCGTTAATGTCTGGGCAATGGGAAGAGATCCTAAAATTTGGAATGAAGCTGAAAAATTCAATCCTGAGAGATTTATTGATAGTTCAATTGATTATAGGGGTAATAATTTTGAACTGATTCCATTTGGTGCAGGAAAAAGAATATGCCCTGGAATTACATTAGCTATTGTTCATGTAGAAACTGTCCTTGCAAACTTGCTATATCACTTTGACTGGAAATTTCCTGAAGGAGTAACTGCAGAGAATTTTGATATGAATGAAACTTTTGCAGGAATTATCCGAAGAAAAGTAGACCTTGAACTGATCCCTGTTGCATTCCGTCCTTAATTTCTATATCTTGTCTCAAGATTAGAAGCTATGGTGATTCTATCGACAATAAATGTTCTCATGTTAGTAGTACAGTATTATATGTAAGAAGTTGAGATATTGTAAGGATGGTCTATTTAGTCAAACTGGTTAATGGAAAACGTGTCAAGAATTGTAAAAACGTGTCAAAGGGGAGTGTCTATATAAGTGGCAGTGCGACTCATTTACAAGAGTCAAGAACTTCAGTTCAATTGTAAGAATTTCACTTACAATTTGGGGCAAGAATTGTTGGAAAAAACTTGCTTACACGGGTTACATGGCCCCAATTATGTACGAACTAATGAAACTAAAAATGTTTTAAAAAGTGCTTTGATCTTTCTTTTTTCCAAGTGTACATTTAAAAATACCCTCATTTCAATGATAATCTTTACTTTTATTGGTTTGATTCATTAGTGAAGCAATATATTCGGTTTAGGTAAGTTTTTCCCAAAATATATTTATATCTGACATACGTATAGTCTTATACATTAAGGGTATGTTCAATAAAATTAACTATTTTAATAGTTGTTGACTGTTTTAATTGCATTTAACAATTAGCTGTTTGAGTAGAGTTTTTTATAAAATGTTAAAAGCTAATCATTATATGAATTAAATTTTTATAAACCGCTACCTTAATCTCTATAACATTTATTATAATATCCTAGAAAACAATATGAGTGAAAATGGTTTCCAATTATCCAATTACCTCACTGATCGTCAATTTCATTCAGTGAAAATCTCTACAAGAATTTGTATAATTTAGATTTTTTTTTTTTTTTTTTTTTTAATGAGGTGAAAATGGTTTCCAATTAATCCAATTACCTCACTGATCGTCAATTTCATTCAGTTGAAAATCTCTACAAGATTTGTATAATTTTAGATTTTTTTTTTTTTTTTTTTTTTAAAAGCATTGTTTTCATTGGGCCATAAAATAAGAAGGGTTTAAGATATATAACTGGTGGTCATTCAACGAAGTTTATTGTAAGATATGCCAAACTCGAATTTATCTGCTTAAAATTTCAGTTTGATATAATTTTTTTTTTTTTTTTTTTTTTTTTTTTAAGCATTGGTTTCATTGATGGCCATAAAATAGAAGGGTTAAGATATATAACTGGTGGTCATTCAACGAAGTTTATTGTAGATATGCCAAACTCGAATTTATCTTGCTTAAAATTCAGTTTGATAAATTTTTACTCGAATTGAACTCAGCTTAAAACTCGATGAACCTAAAATTTTAGACTCGAATTTGAGTGAGGCTTGATTTCAACTTAAAAAGTTTTGAGCTTAAGCTCTCCTTGATGAATGTTCGAGACTCGAGGCTTGAGCTCGAGCAAGCTTAAAATAAATATTATATATAAAAGCTCCATGTGACTCGATGACATTTTGAACTGAACATTATTGAGTTCGAGTTCGAGCTTAATTCAAGTCAAAATTTTTCAAACTTCTTTCAATCTGAGTTCAAACAATTTACAAACTGACTCAGCCCATTTATACCTTTAACAGTAGCAAATGAGGAAAAAACATTGAGCACATTTCATTTTAGGTACCAATTATTATTTTGCATCAATCTATATTAAAAACAAAAGGCAAGAACCAACAAGGTTATCTTTTAGGTAAGAGTATGAGTGTTTGATCCTTGTGAACGGAGAAAATGCTTCTCTTTATAGACTAAGGACACCTGCGGTATAAAACAAAGATAAATAAATAAAAAGAAAGGTTGCATTTCTATCTACTTACCTTTAAAAATAAAAGTGAACTTTTATTCGTGTTTGAACAAATTATGTATAATATCAATTTTGAATTTTAATATTTTTATTACAAATGATTTTTTTATCTAGAAAAAACCTTAATGTTAAGTAGTTAAATTTGACATTATATTCATTTTTCATCTAATATTAATATAAATAAAGTCTTAAGACCATTAGATGGGTCAAGAAGTTGTGTATTTTCTTTTTATTAGGACCATTAAAAGCAGTTACCGGACATGACTAAAAGCCAATATCTAAACCCTAATGATCCAATATATATTTTTATTGGGCATAAATCTGAAATTTAAATATGCGAATTCAAAATATATAGTCCACTTGCATCTTTCGAGTGTAATGACTGATGTTTGCATAAAATTTATGATAGAAGTGAACGAAATGAACATGGTAGCCTAAATATATCGCATATGTTAATGATCTCAAATAATAGTTTGTATGTCTGCTTACTCAGTTGAGCAATATAATTAGCAGTTATGTTTGCTCAGCTGATGTGATTTTGCATTTCAGCAACATAGGTCTTTTGATTTATTTAGCTCTGTAAGAGGGGCTCAGGCAATCAAGTAGTTAAAAAATTCATCAAGGAAACTAATTTAAATCTATAATTTATAAAAATAACATACATAAAATAAATATAAATTACAAATTCTTTAAAAAAAAAAAAAAACTGTTATCATTAAATCACAATAATTATCGGCTATTTTTCGTTCACCAGAATCGATATAAACATATAAAAGTTGAGTCCTAAAAGCTTATGTGGTATCATTTTAGAGTATTAAGATGCTTACGTGACAATGTTAATTTATTGAGTTAGAAATAATTTTAATGTAAGTCATTAAACAATCGTTGGTAGTTCAAGAATCTTTTAATAAGTATGCTCTACTTACATGATGTCTAATATTAAATGAATATTGGTTCATTATGTTTGGTCGTACTTTTTAGACTAGAATAAATATTTTCCATATCAAATTCAAAATTTTCAACGACTTACGTAGGAGTTCTTAGATGGACAGACCGAATAGTTTGATTGACTAAAGATAATGATAATTTTGCAATAAATGATTTTCTTTTGAAAATATCATTCCATAACTACAATAATAAATATATTGTCATTTAAATTAAAAATTCATGCTTCCTATTACAAAATTAATTAATTTATCAAATACCATAATTAGATTGAGTATATTATGCAATTAAGTTGAATATGCCCCTAAATTATAATGCATTAGGAGAAATAAAAAATTATTAATGCAAAAACTAATATAAGTTATGAAGACCAATAACTAAAAAAGAAAAAAAAATATAAAAAATTAATTAAGATTTTTAGCTTTTTTTTTTAGACAATAGTTATTTAAATATTTAAAAAAAAAATATATTCAGGGAGACCCATTTTCTTCTTGGCCCATATGTGGTTCCATCCATGGGCTCAAGGTGGGATATTATATTTTAATTTTTAATAGGACTAGAAAACAAAATAAGATAATTTAAAAAAAATAGTAATATTAAATATTATAGTCCTATTAAAAATTTAAAATATTATTGTCCGATTATAAAATCCATGCTGGACTGCTTGTACTGTGTGGATTAAAAAATTATAGCTAAAGTACAAACTGTTAATGTTTTTTAATTTTTAATATGACTACAATATTATTTCTATATCGTTTCAGATATTGGTTTTTTATTTCCAGATGTCTTGACAGTAGTTGTGCGGTTTCAAGGTCCGGCTCAGGTAAAATCCATGCTGGACTGTTGCTTTCTTTTCAATTTTATTTATTTTATAATTCATATTTTTTTTTATAAAATATTATATTTTATTTGCTCTGTTACGATTCATAAGATGGCTTTGTTACACTATTACTGTAACAATGAGGGTTAAAAAGTCAAATTCACCCTCTTTTTTGTAAATAATTTTATTGTAGCACCTCTTGGGTAATTAATTTTTTCTAACACCTTGATTATGAAAATTTGGCGCTTAAAAAGCTCGGGCTTGCACCATAATGTAGTTGCTTTTTTAATTTGGGCTTGTGCCACGTTGATGTGATAATTTATGTTCTGTTTGTGAACTGAAGTTTCCCATAGTTGTCCGATTTATATTTTGGAACTTTGCAGAGTTATCTTTTCCAAGCAAAATAAATAAATAAATAAAAATAAAATAAAATAAAATAAAAAAATTCATTCTGGTATACTAATTATTGTGTGAAAAGAATTAATGGGAGCAAAATGAAATTATTTATTTATAACTAATTAACACACAAAAACATTGATTACGAACAAGCTATCACTCTTATTATTCTCCTTCCTCTAGGCAATTTTATTACTCCATTTAAGAAACCAAAATAGAATTACAATTACATTAGAGAAATAAGATGCTTAATTAATAATTATGGTTATTCATTGGCAATTTTAATAACTTGCTTCCCCACATTACGTCCCTTGTATAGCCCAACCAAAGCTGCCGGAGCGCTTTCTAGACCGTCGGCAATATCTTCAGCATATACAATCTTCCCTTGTTTGATATTTGGTATAACCATTTCTAGATATTTTGGGAGTAAGTGATAGTAATCGGAAACTACATATCCTTGCATGCGGATACTTTTCAAAATAACTTGGTTTGAATTGAAAATCCCACAATCAATCTTGCTTGAGATATAATGCGACGTCACTCCACACATAACCACGCGTCCCTGGTATTTCATGTTCAGCAGCACTGCGTCTAACATCTTGCCAGCAACATTATCAAAGTAAATATCGATTCCCTCAGGAAAGTATCTGTATAAATTAAACCCATTAACAAAATCTGCAATGGTGATTTATGTTTCAATCTCAATAAATAGTACTAGTAATCAAGTAAAATCTACCTCTTAAAAGCTGCATCCAAGTCTTTTTCTTCATTATAATTGAAAGCCTCATCGAATCCGAACTTATTCTTTAATAAATCAACCTTAAAATAGAACAAGAATCGAGTATTTGGATAGTTAGCTACTTGAAATAATCGAGTATTCGGAATTTTAAGGGTTGGATGGAATGGAACTCACTTTTTCTTTACTTCCAGCACTTCCAACCACATAACAACCTGCCAACTTTGCAAGTTGGCCGACAAGATGACCAGTTGCACCAGAAGCAGCTGAAACAAACACACAATCTCCTTTCTTAGGAGCCCCAATCTCATATAATCCAACATAAGCGGTCATGCCTGTCATGCCTGCATTTATAAATCCACAATGAGAATCTGGTTGTTAGTTTCTGTAAAAAATTAACATGAACTAGAATAAGGTAAAAAATAAAATAGAAAAGGAAAAAGAAATCAGTATTCTAGAATACCAAGAATTCCAGCATGATATGAGAGAGGCAAATCAGTGTGATGAACTTTAACGAGGGACTGAGCTGGTGTTGGAATGAGAGTATATTCTTCCCAACCAGTCATTCCCCAAACAAAGTCACCTTTCTTGAAGTCTGGATGCGCAGATTCCACAACTTTACCCACTCCAAGTCCATTTATAACTGAACCAAGCTGGAATGGTGCAAAAGGATGCCCAGGTTCTCTTTCTTCTTGCAGTAGGACTCTTATATATGGATCACAAGACAAGTACAGATTCTTGATAAGGACACCATCAGTTCCTTCTGGCACTTTGAGTTTGATTAAATTAGTAGTTACAAGCAAGTTTGATTCTTTAGGGCAACCTTCATTCGCGTATTCTTTCAATGTAACCTGTTTGTTGCTCACTGTTGGTTCACTGATACTACCCATTGTTGCGGAGCTTTCTGTCTACGTGTATAACCTATCCAAATTAGGAACGAAAATTATAAAGCATGTTTTGAACGGATCAATATGATTATAGAAATACAATAAGTGAAGAAAATAAATTAATATTTATAACAGTAATTACAGTGTTTTAAATATTAGTTCCAGAAAAATTTGAAATGTAAGTACATAATGCAAATAAAATTATAATAATGAAAATAAAGAAACAAGATAGAAATTTGATGACTTGTTAAAATAAATGTGCATATATTATTAATTAACCAGAAAAAAAAAAAGGAAAGAGATTTTTCTAGAGTGAATTTTTTATGAATCAAAGAAAAAGAAGAGTAAATGACCTTTGTTTATATCTTTCAAAGTACTCTTGACTCTTACAAGAAACCGCTAGGGAATGTACATATATATATATATAGATCCACACACTCTGATAATCTCAGGTGGAGACTTTATACATATTTTAAATATGTTTAAGGCAAATGCCTTTTGCATTATTACACGTTTTCTTACTTCTTAGTGAACAACAAGCAGCCCAAGTAGATAGTAAACGAGATAACTGACAGCAATAACATATTTTCTTACTTCTTAGCCAACAACAAGCAGCCTAAGTAGATAGTAAACGACATAACTGACAGCAATAACATGTTTGATTGCTTGCACTTCAATTTTATTTTTTCATGTGATTAATTGAGAAAAAAGTTTTGGTCAACAAAGTCAAGCTTGCTTTATAATTCCAAATATAATGATTATTTGTTTTACTATATCAAAAAAAAAAAAATGCTACGTGGATCAATATGATCCATTTATTATATTTATGTTAGTACCATTTAACACGTATTTTGAAATGGGTACACTGCACAAGGAATATTTCTCATTGCTTGTCGTCAACAAAGTTAAGCTTATACTAACTTAAGCTAAATTATCAAATCGAAGCCTGGTGATCTGTCAAGCCACTCAATTTATATTACATTAAGAATAAAATAATTGCGTGGAAAAGAAATCATCAATTTTTTTTAAAAAATATGTATAACCTTCATTATAACGAGTTAAAATGTTTAAAATACCCTCAATAGATTCATCCAGTAGATTCACCCATAATACACACAATATACGATGACTTTTAGATATTTTAGCCCATTACAATAAGAGTTAATGCAGACCCAATTTAAATTATTTTGCACGAATCTTTTTTTTTTTTTTTTTACCTAGAAAAATAACACCAAAATTGCTAATTATTGCTTACGCATTCTAAATTGTGTTTTTCGTTTTTTCTCTACATCGAACACTGTATTGTGATGCGGAGCAGTTGTTAAAGTGTTTAATGAGTATCCAAGTACTACGTCATCCTTTACTTGTACTTTGGACATTTGGAGTTTTGCACAAAAATTTAAACAAATGAAAATTTTCCTGATTTGCTCCAACATTGACTACACCTATACTTGGATTGCTTTTCCCAAATATGACTCTATACAAACGAGTTCTCGCCACCAAGTCAATTGTATTAACAGAGAGACAGATTGCATTACCAGACTCTATTAATTAAAAATATATATATATAAATTAAGATTTGAATTTTCTAATTAAATATTATACTTTTATTTAGTATCAAACCTTCACAAAGAAGGGAGCACAACTCTCACGAAAAAAGAGATAAAAAAAAACTTCAAATATGAAGACAAAGCAATAAAATAAAAAGATAAATCTATTAGAAGAAAGTGGATTTGAATTTATTAAAATCAAATAAAAGATCGGGTCAAAAAAAAATAATCTTTCATGAATATTGGAATAAGAACATTTTTATTATTCAAAAGGATCTATTTCTATTTTTATGAGAAAGAAATTTAAGATTTTTTTTTGTTTCTATACAAGTCTAATGTATATGAATGCAAATCATTTTTTTTTTCTTTGTAACCAATCCTTTTATTCACGGTGTGGATAAAAGTAAAAGTTAAAAGTGGTACAAAATATTCTCTCTATTCCATACATATCAACGTAGTTTAACTTTCACATTGTTTATGAAAACTAATTAATATAGTTGAATTATATATTTTGTTTAGTCTTTTTTCCAAAATATCATTTTATAATGTTAAATGATGGACATCAATTGAGAATGTAAATATACATTAAATAGGGATATGTTAAGAAATTAAATAATAAATGATATTTTAAAAAAGGAATAGAACAACATTTTGAGAGACCGAAATGAATTTATATATATATATATATATATTAAAAAAGGAATAGAACAACATTTTGAGAGACCGAAATGAATTTATATATATATATATATATATACACACACGGACAGATGAAGTATTATAAATATGAAAGTAAATTTATGTATTTTGTCTTAGAAACAGCAATTGTTGATTTTTAGATTGCTCTGTCAACGTCACAATGCCAGGAATAGTAGTTTAGATTGTCTTGATCCTTGTTGGATTATATGTATCTATACGAAATTCTATAAATGGGAGCTTACAAAGCATAAGCGTCAAAACGTAATCAATTATAAAAACATAAAAGTCAATGTGTAATTGAATTTACTCTTACAAGTAAGGATTGCTTGGCTGAATACATAAGATCTCGTTGCATTTTTAATTTTTATTGTAATTCATTGAATACTTTAATTTATAAAATTATATTTATTAAATATTTTATTTGATCTATTTTATATCTCAATTTATAAAATTAAACCGATTAAATATTTATAAAAAAATGAAAAAATATAAAATTATTATTCTAAAAATTGTATTAACCACGTATCAAATCAATATTTTGTATATAAAAGCCAAAAATTATTAAAATTTATTGTTTCAGTATAAAAAATTGTAAAATTATTATAAAAATGGAGTTAAAGGTGCCACAAGATTGAATTTATAGCTCAAAGTGCCACAATATTTTTTTGTATAAAGTTCAGGGGTTAAATAATATATTTAACCTATATCCCTTGATTAAGTTAAAATTGTTTTATAACTAACAATGTGAATATTCATCAAACACATATTTAACATTAAAAATAAACAAAGCAGTTTGAAACAATAGCATCAAAAAATAATCTTTGCACTAAGAAGAAATTCATCAAACAGCTAGTAGGATATTCATAAACAATTAGATGATTTATTGCAATAATTAAGCTTTATATTAAATAATTCAACATATATATATAATATATAATTAGAAAATAAAACTAAATTCTGTAAACCATAAATTGTGATTCCATAAATTAATTTTCTGCTTTTAAAAAATATTCTTTAAAAATTAAAAAGTTTATAAATAAACACGTTTTCCTTTACCTTTAAATGCTAAACAAGTAAAAATTCGAAGACTTTGTTGCAAGGATTTAAACGAAAACAAACGCACAAATAACCCATAGTTCATTTAAAGAAATAAAGCAATAGCAATATTTATTTTGCCCAAAAATCAACTTTTTATATAATTTATCCATTGAATTTGCACTAAAGAACAAAAGCCGAATTTTTTATAAAAAATAATTTTTAATATTTTAAACTACTTAAACTTATTTAAAAATTTTTAAAATTAGGAAAAATCAGTTAAAGACATAACAAATAAAAAATTAAAGTGTTTTATCTTTAATTTAAAAAATAATTAAACAAAATATTTGATTTAAAAAAATTATAAAATTAGAAAAATATTTGGTTATATGAATATTTTTAGTGTAAAAATATTTATTACTTTTTTATTTAATTATTTCTTAATTACATTTGATCTAAATCAAATATTTTATTTTTTTAAATATAAGTTAATTTAAATTAATTAAAATTATTTTGAGTACCAAGTTGGACTTTTTATTTTTCTTATAAATTCAAGGGATAAATTATACAACAAATAAATTAATAGATAAACTGAGTATTGCTCTCAAACTCACAACCGATCTTTATTCTCTATTTACATTTGAATTTAAAATTTTAAAATTGAAAAACTGAGGTATTATTTGGACACGTATATTTCACATTTATTTGAAACTAGTCAACATTCATCTGCTTCACAGTTCCCACGGCTAAATTAAATAATTTTTTCTGTTTTTTTCATTCAGATATTATATATAATAATAATAATATAAAAGTTCATCGAAAATAGTACACTTTATTACATCGAAATTAGAAAGCAATATAACTCACTAATGGAAAGAATACAAATTGAAATTAAATATTACATTATTAAAAATATGGGATAAATTCATTATCCTTTTGTAGTCTTCCGTCTTTTTATTCTTCGTTCTATGTACCAAAAATATAATAATAATATAATATCTTTTCAAAAAAAACAGAAAAAAATTATTTATCATATAATATGTTGTAGATACAGATTTGTTGTTTCCATTGGTTGTCATATTCTTATAAAGCAATCACCAGAACCACAATATGTTAGTTATAATTGTGGTGTCTGTATTCTTTAATTTTGTAATTTTAGTGTTTGAATAGAATGAATTTTGCAATTGATGTCTTAATTATTAAAAAAATTGCAATCAAATACATTTAGCTGAAGGTTCATCTCTCTTTTTTCAATAATTTTTTATTTTCTTGCTTCTCTTCTTAAAAATAATTCTTAGTTTGATTCAAAACAAAATAAATAAATAAATAAATTAGAGAAAAAGAAGAAAAAAAAAAAGTACTCCTTCTATTTCAAAATATAAGTCATTTTTAGGTGTTGATTTTGTCCCAAAATATAAGTATGTTTGAGTATTTTAAAGAGTAATAATTTATCAATATTGCCCTTATTTACATTAATACAATAATTATCTTTACAAATTCTATCTCTGTTCCATAATACTTGTCACATTTCGAATTTTACGTTCCTTAGGAAAACCATTAAATTTGTCTAAGTTACAATAAATTATCAAGTAAATTGACTATATTACCGTTAATTTAATATTAATTCTCCAAGAAAACTATTAAATTGAAGTAATAATTATTGGTCGTATATAAAGGTTAAATATGAAAAAAAAAAACATTTATTACACATTAAAACCACATATGTGATAAGTATTTTGGAACAAACTGTTTTCTCAAATGTGACAAGTATTATGCAACTGAAGTAGTAACCCTTGATTTGAGATGAGGAATAATTTGATCAAATTACCTTTGATTTTGTTATAATTTAAGAGAATTAATTGCTTCTTAATTTATGTGCAAAAATCTTAAACAACTTATATTTTGAGATAAAGGTAGAAATAATTTAGAAAAATAAACAAAGTAAAGCAACAGATAATAAATAGTTCATTTTCATTTTATACTGAAAAATTCTGGTTTAATGTACTTAATTATATAAAAATTATTACCTCACACATTTAATTATAAATTTGTTCCATTTAGATATCAAAATAAAAAAAAATTCAAATACTAAAAATATAATTAACCCATTCTTCTTAATTCAAAGTGCATATTCTTAAAATGATATATAAAATTAAAGAAAAAAA